ACTGAATTTAAAATATCATCAGTATCTTGGAATAAATGAAGATTATTTAATAGATTTAATGATTGAATTTAATTTGAAGTCAAATATTGAAAATGCAATGAATTTTAAAAATAGAATCTTTAAAATTAATAACTTTCTTGATCCACGAATGTTAAAATAATTTCTGCCAATTTTCAAATAAAATTACTTAAAATTTAAATTATTTTATAATTAAAAAAATTAATTTATTAATAATTATTATTAAATGAACTGGTTTGGACAGACCAATTTAACCAGTCCAATCGGCGAAACCGGAGTCAGCGGCCAAAATTGTCGGTTATCGAGCTAGATTTTTAAACGATTTTTAAACTGGCCTAATCCCTTATTTTATCAGGTTGATTCAACCTTTTTATTATAGTAATTACTACTATATTTGTCTAAATTTACTACTTTTTTTATTATAAAATAAATGATATTTTTTTCATTTTGCTAATAAAGTAAATTTCTTTATTAAAACATTATGCTAATAAATACTCTACTAATTTCAAAATAATTGTTGCTTTATTTTTTAAAATTAAACATCAAGTTCAAATCTCTTGGAATAACTAAAAAGGAGTTTAAAAAAGAATGAAGTATTTTTTATTACATAATTTATTATCTAATGTATAAAAAAATAGTATTTTAATAACCTCGATGCTTAAACTATGTGTATATATATTTTTTCGGGCATCCTGTGCTAAAAACTATTTTTACTTTCATATTATACTTGAAAAAGAATACAATAGAAAGAATTGTATACCTGCAGGTCTAAAAAATGGTATTTAGGAATTTCGATGCAGAAACAAATTGGGCACAACAGATCATCTTGATTGCAGTTGATAGCCTATTCTTCCTGATATAGTGTGGCTGACGGATATTTCCTGAATAAAAAAACATGATTCAAATATTATCACTGGGGGAATACACTTCTATTTTAATTTATTTGAAGTGCCTAGAAGAAAGGCGAGCTCACAAGATTATCAATTAAGCTACTAAAAATTAATTGATGGAAAATCAAACAATAGGACAATGAGGAATCAACAATTTGTTTTGTATAGGAAAATGAGAATCTGACAAGAAGAAAATTGAAGGGAAAAATATCCCAAACGACTTAATTAGTAAAATTTTTAGTATAGCATGTTCTATAAAACACACATTAGAAGGTATTATTTTTCATTAGAATTAAATGTAAATAAATTTAAACATGTAATCATAGGTGAAAAGGTCAAAACTAATTAAATTAATTATTTTTACATTTTATTTCAATAACTAGACATTTATTAAAAAATGTATCAAATTAAAAAGTACTCCAATAATTTCTCTATCTTAAAACTACATCGTTCGAATGAAATTTTCATTGATTAAATATTTTAGTTCAATTCGATCTATAGTAGATCAAAGTCTTCCAAGTGATAATTACAAAAACAACCAACAAAAATCTAAAGTATGACAGTATTACATCTGAAAAATATTTATTTCTTTGGCCACAAAAAAGTATATGCTTTTTCATCTTATGCTTTAAAGAGAGCGTAATTGATGGAATTGCTTACCTGCAGGTCTAGAAGAATTGAAGAAATTAGACAGTGCGATGAAAATTAGACCCACAAAATCAGAAACTATGTAGCATACAGTAGATCTGCTCGATTGCAACTGCAAGTCTATTCTTTCTTGCAAAAGGTTGATGGATATATTCTGAGAAGAAAAAAGAAGGAATCAAATACGATCACAAGGAGTTTACATTTCTATATTAATTTACTTGAAGTGACTATAAAAAAAAAACAAAAAGATCTCAAATAGATTATCAATTAAGTGGCTACTAATTTTTTTTTATACACATTAAGCGGCTACCAATTAGTTATTACGTAAGAGCAAAATTATTAAAATGAGAGAACTAACAAATTGCTCAGAAAAGGAAAAAAAAACATAATGAATATGAGAATCTCACAAAAATGAAGAAAACACAAACAGAATCTAACAATATGGTCATAAATTAATCCAAAAGAAACACTGAAACATATATTTTCCTTTCCCTTTTTATATCAAAGAAAACATGAACAGAATCAAGATTGAAGAATATCTAATAGATAGTGTACCTGGCAGAAGAAAGAAGAAAAGGTGAACACTGAAAACCAATTTAAGCCAAGCCAAGCAAAGCAAATTAGTAAAAGCAGTAGCAGGTTCAATTTCTGATGCGAGGGGTTGATGAGCCAACAAAGGAGAGGAAACAACTCGAAATAGGCACCAGGCAGTAGCAGGATGTACTTCGTGGAAGACGTTTAGCCAATGCAAGTGAAATCAACAATAGAACCCTATTATATATAGAGAATAATAATTAATACTCTTTCATTTAATATATTATATAATATATTAAT